TCAATATTCTGAGTAATCGTTTAGAACTTCAGAAGCTCTTGTAAATGATTATATACATCCCGAGTATACTTAGTAGCCACGAATTGAAAAAAACACAAAGGTAAGAGGGCTCTTGGTTAAAAGAAATACACAAATTTTCCCATTATGAAATAGTGGTTGGAGCTCGAACACACTGGGTGTTGTTTTAAGAGGGTGCTTGATACTCATATGATCTCATTTTTTACTCATTTAAAATTGAAAATAGCTTTCTTAATTCCTTGAAATTACTAATGAAAAGTGATGATGTTTATAATACAACAGAGCAGAGATAGGGATTTAACAAGAATTGAGTTATTTAGTCTGAACTCCTAAACTCTTAAGATTTGGGGTTAGGAAATAGGAGTTCACACATGAAGAGTTTATAGTCGTTTATTAGTTCGGGAGTTCAGTTAATTTATTTTTAAGAGAGTCTCTTGCTCCTGGGATTTATATTAATAAAAAGAGATTAGAGAATTGTTGTTCAGGCTACAATGACTTGTTTCTATTGCTGGGGGGGTTATGTTTTTTTATTTATTGTTGATCATATTGGTGAGATTTATGCTCTTCATTATAATGGTTGCTACTATCCCGCAACTGTATAGAGTTTGTTGGGACAATTGCGGTTTTTTTGCCTGAATATGCGACCGTTACTATCTGAGAGGTGCATGGGTGGAAGTCAATTGTTTCTACGCTACTCTCCTTGAGACCTGGCTTGTAGGGATGGGCGTAATAACTTCGAGCTTCATGGACATCAAAAATCGGTTGGGGTCCCTATCTAAGAAAATACGATCTGAATTACCGAACTTATCCTTAAACATATTTAGGGTATCGTCAAAAAGCATTGTCCAGATTGAAACCACACGAACAGAAAGCTACGTATCAATCCATAGTAGTATTATTGGCAGACTTACTGGTAGTGTGTCAACATCAGCCATGTCACATGGGAGATGAACTCAAACATGCCCATACAATGTATTAGCTTTAATGTCAACCATATTCATACAGATGAAGAGTAGATATCTCATTGATGGTGTTTGGAAACGAGTTTTCTATTTAACTCCCCTTATCCGGAATATCAAATGTTGATGTTAATTGGTCCACATCTGGTCAAATATAATTCATGTTGTGGGGTTTTTGGATGGAGATCATCGCTTTTGACCACAAAGTAGGGCAAGAGAGGAAGGAAAAAGTAAGTTCAAATAGATTTTTGCAAGAAATATGCAGAACCCTATAGCAGACCATTTGTTATCGAGGCAATCAGTTGTGAACAGGTTACTGAAAAATGGAAGAAGAAAGAACATTTTTTTTGTAGTTAATGATAAATCCAGATTCAACTGAGTTAGACTCAATTAATAAGTAAGTCCAAATTAGTTACAAAGTAGATCAAGCCCAACTCATGAATTCGATCTAGTCTAAAGTTCAAGGAATCCAGAAGAATTAGCGCACGTGAGAAACAATAACCACTCTCCTAAATAAAAACTATATTTAATTGTACATATCCTAATTGTAGCTATCCTTTCTGAAAAACTAGTAACCTATCCATCACTTCATCGTCTCAACCAAAGTTCTGTGTCTATAAATTGTAAGTCTTCTACACATGAGGGACACACCTCTATATCTCACACACAACTATCTCTCTCATAGCTACCTCACCACACCTAGATTTACTCGTACTCTCCCCTCAACTATTTTATCAATAAAATTCTCTAACCACTGTTGCCCCCTTCAAAGTGGAATATGTTATCCTGATCAAACTATTCTATATCTTTGTGTTGTATGCGTTGATCTCATCTTTATATTTATTACATTTATTATTCATATTAATTACTCAACTGTTGATTATACATAAATCTACTTTTGTGCATCATCTATTATAATTGATTGATTTCAAGTGTAAGGTGTAACTAACAACATATTAGTACTATATATAAAAAATAAAAGGCTTGGAGGCAATTAATTCACTTACATCGGTTACCAGTAGGGTTTGTCATATGTGTTTTTTCTCTCTCCTGCAATCAATAGACATAATCCTCTTAAAAGTTGATTCCAAGCGATTGTTAGATGCTGGATTCAACTGTCTTATTTTAGAACATCTTTGGATGATAACAATGGGCTAATTTATAACAAGGAAAATGGCAATAAAAGTATAAATAAAAAGACTGACACTTTTATTAATCTGATTTTTTTTTTTGAATTATAACAGATTGATGAACCAGTCTCAACACTAATTCTATCTTAAAACCAATCTAAAACCACTTCTAATAGCTAGCCCTAGACTATGCCCTAGATAAAGTCTCTTACAAATAGATATGTGTGTTGGGAACAATATTTTCTAGTGGATATGTAGAGTGGTTTATTTGTATATTAATTTTTTGTATAAAAATTATAAAATATGGTCCAAACATAGCCCTAGACTATGCCCTGTTAACATGTCCTCGACTGCGACATAAAAAAAACAAATAAAAATGTTAATGGGCTGGCCTGGAAAAGCCCGTTCAGAAACCCACGACTCACGGCCTGTTTGTTGGGCCAATCCTAAATTTCCAACAGCCTTTAAACACCATAATCGGATCGGGCCAGCCCAATTAGTCTTACAGGCCGAAAATAACAAACCGTGGAACCTAACAGTTGGGTTATACGGCTAGGGTTGCCATGTGGTACGTTTTTTTGGCTCAAGCCCCGATGGACAGCCACGGAACGGGAATTTGCTGTGCTCTACCGACACAAAGTTGCTTTCCGTATAACTTTTAAAATAACTTTCATGCGTACAACAATTGTATTGGAATTTACATACCGAAAAAACAAAAAAAAACAATGGTTTTCCTAATACAATTCTGAGTTCGGTTGCTGCAGGGAGAAGAAATCGAATTTTCTTGCTTAATATGTGGGTTCAACTCTTCATAATTATAACAGTTTTATGGGGTTAAATTTAATTTTTAATACTAAGAATATACGGTGGAATTTTAGCTTTGACATTAACATAAGTGTGATAAAATCTCTTGCAAATAAATGTATAGTGCTAAAAGACAATAGTAGTTGACGGATACATAAAGTGACTTAGGTACATATCTATTTGGGCAAACTTTATTCTACCCCCTTTTGGTATACTTCAAATGCACTTTACCTCCCTAATATTTAAAAACCTTCACATAACTCTCATGCGTTTTTGTGAATTAAAATACAATCTTAACACCGTTAACAGAAAAGATTAAAATGACTTTAATATCCTAATTTGTCTCTTTCTTTTCAGGCGAAATCTCCTTCTCCGATAGAAAAAAAAACTCTCTCTGTGTATCTTTGTTTCAAACACAATCATATTAGTACCATTCCTCCGTCATTTTGTACATAAATCACCGCCACACACCAACAAATTAAAAAATAAATCAAAATTAAAATTGAAATTGAAATTGAAATTGAAACCGAAACGAAGCCAATCATACCATCTCCATTCCCTTTCCTCACTGTGCGCAAACTTTATGTGTGTGTGTATGAAGAGAGAGAGAGAGAGAGAGAGAGAGAGACTGTGCGTGCGTGTGTGCAAATTGTGTGTGCAACAAGGTTGATTAGAATTTGTGAGTGTATGCGTGCAGAAGAAGGTTTGTGTGTGTGGGTGGGTGCTAGTGTTTTATATCTTTGTGTGTTCTGTGTGTGTGGGTTGCTGACAACCGGAGTTAGGACACCCGAGAGAGAGAGAGAGAGAGAGAGACAAGGTTATTTTTGTCTTTGAAATTAATTTTTTTTTTTTTTTTGACACATATCAACTCTCAAATTCTAAGTGTGGCACACAGTTCCTCTTAAGTTGGATGGAAAATGTGGCATTGCATTTTAATCCACAAATCGTGTGAGAGTTATGTGGAGGTTTTTAAATGTAAAGAAGGTAAAGTGCATTTAAAATATGAGCAATACTATTGGAATTTAAAATGTAGATCCCATCAAACATTAGAAGTTAGTGTTAATGCAATAATTTTTATGAAACTACATCATTAAACCAATAAATTAAATCAAATTTTTATATCAAAAAATAATAGTACTCTTAAAATATTCCACAAGTTTGCCCTCTTTTTTGTACCCGAAAAAAATGGCATTCTTATAAGAGTTAAAATCCAAAGTTTTACCTAAAACTGAAAATTATATTCAAACTTTAAGTATCATCATCAAGTTGTTCTTACTTACCTCATTACTATCAATCATCACAGGGCCTCACAGTGCTTGCTCAATGCTCGTACACCGAACACACACAAAGAGAGAGGGAGAGAGAAAGAGAGAGAACTGGATAAGGCGTGATGAGTTAGCACTGCTGAAACCAACCACTATAAGAAATCCCCTGTGATGGGCAAAAAAGCATAGTTGGGAAAGGAAATATGAAGGAAAGCGAAATCCCAAGAATCAACAGCTGTGATCAGATGTCCGTTAGTGTATACCTTTGGCTCATTCAGTGTTTTCTTGCTGTTCTAGCTTCTTGTCTTCTACGTATCTACTCTCTTCCCACCTTCCTCTCTCTCTCTCTTCCATTATATAGCTTTGATGTTTGAAAGGGCTCATCCAACGAGGTTAAGGTTCTTGCCTTTTCGGGGACCCTTTTTTATTCTTTCTTTTATCCTTCTTATATACTCTTTTGTCCTTCCACGTTCCATCATCTCTCAAGTCTCCGGGAAGCCACAGACAGAGAGTGACTTTATGATAAACTTCAATCACTGATACATTTCCTCTGCTGTAACTCTTTGCAGATTCACCTAACATCTCAATCACCACACACCTTTTAGAGCTACTTAATGTCTTCAACTCTCTTTAACTCACTTCAAGTTCAACCCTATTCCCTCAATTTTTCAGTTTTCACGCATCTCTGGACTCTGCTAGCTGGTTACTACAATAAAAGCTCTCTCTCTCAAATGGGCTGCAGTCACAATCTCATCTATTGCCATAGATTTCACTTTTTGACCATTTCTTTGCTCTTTCTCGTGATATTAAGCTCAACCCAACTTATGTTGATTGCTGGAGGTAAATGGGTTACAAATAGTTTTTGTCCACTTCATAAAAAAAAAATCTTTTAAAACTTGCATTTTAAAGTTAAATTTTCTACTTGCTTTTTGTATACATTGCAGGTAGAACAATTGTAAAACCAGATAGCCATTCCCAGGTGAGAATTTTACTCTCTCTCTCTCTCTCTCTCTCATATTGTGATTATGGAAATAAATATACGTGCTTTGTTGTATTGTATAGACAGTGAATGAAGAGAAAGCAATTGTGAGACCCCAGATAGGTTCAAGACCACCAAGGTGTGAGAAGAGGTGCAGTTCTTGTGGGCACTGTGAGGCCATTCAGATACCTACAAACCCCCCAAAAAAATCTGGAAACAGAAACTCTTCAACAGTGTCCACAATTGCGTATGCCGGAGGTGATGACAACTCCAATTACAAGCCCATGAGTTGGAAATGCAAATGTGGGAACTTCATCTTCAACCCATAATGGTGTACAAGAAAATACATATTATTACTTTTTGGCCCTCTGATTTTGGTTTTGCTTTACAATTCTCGCCGTTGAATACAGAATATGGTGTTTACTGTGAAGGCCTTTCTCTTAATCTTTCTCTACATCAGTTCTGTGACGTGTTTGATACAATGCATTAATGAGCCCCTAGATCCATGCTTTCTCACCTCTCATATTCCTTTGGAACCATGACTTTACTAATAGTACTCGGAGTTTCTAATTTGGTTGAGACGATACTTGGTTTTCCTTCCTAAAACTTGAGTTAGGGTGGAGAATGAGTAGAGGAGCACAATCTCTTTCTTTATTTCTGGGTTTTCGTGATATTGTATCAAAGTTTCTTACTTGGGCTTTACAGGTAAGAAACCTTACAAGAATTTAACTTGGAGGTACAAGATTGGCAGTAACTGTTTACTAACTGTGCGTGCTCAGGAACTGAAAATGGTATTATTATGCATTAACACACGCCAAACAATATTTAACAAACTCAGTATGAGAACTAAGGGCAAGTAAGAGTAGGCAGAGAAAAGATTTTGTTAAAAAGTAGAAGAGGATTTGGCGTATGAATCTGGCATTCTGGGCTGCCTTTTGCCACAGGAACCGTTAGGCTTCCCCATAACTGTCCTTTCAAAAAATTACCAATACAACCATGAGGTAACGATTAAATTTTAGGCCAATAGATAGGTTAGTAGCCATAATATCCTGGACTCCTGTTTTCTTTGGATTTAGACTACAGTACCCAACAAATAAATTTGATGTCGTACCTTTAATTTTTATTATTTTAATAATTTTTATAGATCATTTTATAATAAAAGAATTTAATACTTTTATGAGTGATTTATTATTATTGTAGTTATTTTTATCACATTTGTGATAATTAATTTTTTTTTTGGTACAAAAAAATTTACTATATTTGTGGGTGTTTTTACGAAATTTGTAAATATTTTTACCACTGTTTTAATAATTATTTTTTGTCGATACCACAACATAGCTAGTATATAAATGGGAAAAAAATAACCGTAAATATGATAAATATAGGTATGGTATCAAGAATTTTTTTTGCACCGTAGTCTAATCCCTTTTCTTTACTTGCAAGAAACCGCAATTCAGTGGGAACAGTCATTGGTGTTCCACTATTCCCAACTCTCCAGAAATAATCGTAAAAGCAAAAAAATAGTGTCCTTATATTCTTGATTAAAGTTATTAGTACCTAAAAATCTAATTTAATTTATTAATTTAATGACTATTATTTTTTCATTGAGATTTTATCATTTGACACATTATTATATAAATAAATTACGTTAGGTTTTTAGGTTCCTATGACATGGTTTTCGCGAGCACAAACTAGTAATTAAAGGCATGAGGCATAACAAACACACAAGAAAAGAAAAAACTTGTGAATAAAAGAAAATGTCTTATTTGTTTAAGGTCTAATAATGATTCAAATCGTTTAAATTGAATTGTTTATTTTATAGTCTAAATTTTTAGTTTTTGACCGCAATAAGTTTTTTTATTTACATCTAATAATGTTTGAAAAAAAGTAATATTTTAATAACAATACATATTCTGGTTAAAATCACTAAAAAAATTTAACCACCCACTATTATTCTAAACACGGAAAAAAAACATACTTCAGATGAGTACCCTGGTTAAGAGATGCAAGCTCAACGAGGAGGAACAATGGCTCTACTGACTACTGGGCTTGGGTAAAGAATCAAAGAGTACACATATCATGATCATGATCACGTGTGGAGGTTTCTGTTGGGTGGGGGGTGGTGGGGGGCTTCCATGTTCCTAAAATCCAACCTAATGAGAATGTCTTCAAGCATAGATGAAGACAGACCAACTAAAAAGCTGCGGTCTATGTAAAAGCAATGGATTCTGATTCCCAAAGCCTTTTCATCTCAAGTTTTTTTGTGCAGGTCTTCAGATCAGACTCTTGGCAGTAATGCATTGAAATTTCACCATCCCCCCAGTCATGGACAAAATGTACTTTAACACAGTCGTACTCTGTGAGTAATGCATATTCAGCCATAACTCATCACTAAGAACCCCATTCTGCAATAGATCATTATAGAGGGGCATCATCAGGAATCCCGATGCTTTTTTTGGATGTGCATCAGAAATCCCAATGCTGGATGGATCAACAACATATATGGTCTTGTAGCAACCCACTGCCACGCCATTTTCGTGGTTTGAAAATGAACATATGGCCACTTGAAAGAACAAAACCGTTGGTACAATTGGTATGTAAGCTTCTCTTTCCTGCAATCTCTACTTTCTCAAGCAAAAAGTCATGTCCATTGTCAGAGAGAACTAGATTAGAAACACCAGTAATCAAATGCGCCTAATGAAGATAACGCAATGAGCAGACTAAACTTTGTCAATAATTAGAAATACCAGAAAGGCCGGCTGGTAAGGTGGGCTAAACTCAAATGTCAGCAAAAGCACCCCCCTCTCCCTCTCTTCCCCCCTTCTTCTAGGTCTAATATGTCAACCAACCCCAAGTCATCCCATCCCTCCCACCCACATCAGAAAGTGTTGAGAGCCAACATGGTATGTGCCTTCATGAGGAGGGAACTCTCTTCACCCAAATATCATCGTTGTTACAAATAAATAACAGAGATGAATGCTAAATACCCAACTTGATAAGTATCAGGTTTTGAATGCCCGCAATATCATGGTTCTAATAGAAATTCCCAACTGAAACAATGAAACCAAAATACACTTGTCGAAACTGACTACTAGCCGCAAACAAGAACGATTTGATATCCGAAACACGCCTCAACTTCGTGATCCAACGACAGATAGAACTTAGTTTTTATTAGCAGATCACTTGTGAACACTCTGGTGCCAAGCATATTTCTTTTCAAAGCAGAGATAACTGAACTGGGACAAGTTAATCCCAGTTTATGTTCAAGATCTGGATAAATATTAACACTAAAGCCGATCCATAATTATTCCTATAAAGTGTACCACACACAGCCAGTGTCATCAAGTGGAACAGAACCCTGTCTACAACATGATGAACTAACGATTGTGATTGAACCAGACAAAATATAGCGACCACTAAATATTTTTGGAACCTCGCCACAGATTAAGAACTTGGAGATTTTAACGTTCTAAGGATCCAGAGATCATGTACATACTCTCAAGTCACCAACTGGCGATAGGAGATGGCCATAAAAACCTAATGGAAGACACCTAGGACGCCAAAAAAAAAAAAAAGGCCTTCCACCATGAAAGGAGGAAGCTTAATGATCCATTTACAGCAAAAAAGTGCGAGAAGACATTTTAGAAATAAGTTGGCAGATGCAAGGTCACAAGTTATCCTCCCCTATACCTCCCTTATTACAAAAGTTGGGTATGGCAGTTGTAAAGTTCCAAGTTCTCCATTCTTCCTTGCCCCCATGTGTGACTATGCACTCCATAAATTTTTCCTGCTTCATGACAGTGCCGGATGGTACCATTGACAAATGCATTAGAGCTTACGCTAAATAGCAGTAGCTTTTTTGACTGCTTATCTAAATTCATTAAAAAGTGAAAACTAAAGCTACACACACACACAAAAAAAAAAAAAAGCAAAGCCAATAATCTCTAAGACAAACAGAAGACAACACACTTCAATCAGGAAAAGCATCAAAAAAGGATTACATCGAAGGTACGGTTGGTTAAAAACACTAAAGCTTACACAGTGCACTGTAAAGCAATCTCCTCCCAAAGACATCCACCATAACAAAGAAATTAATCTAAGCTCAATGGAAACCGGCACATAAAAGACTATTTCTGAGATTAGTATCATAACACCTGATACTATTGAAAGTCACACACAAGACATTTAACTTCTGATACTATTGAAAGTCACAAGACATTTTTAATTGACATTTAACTTCAAGGTGTCTGCCTGTTTCCATTGAATTGCCTACGACATGAGCACGCCCCCAAGGACAAAGACACAAACAACTTCCACTCAGAGAGGGGAAAAAAAGAGGAAAGGACTTTCACACTTCAAGAATCAGGTCACGCCTGAAATGAACAAGCTTTGGTTTGTTCATTTCAGGCACATAAAGCTCAATTAGTATTCAGGCATCCATAACTGGATTGCATCATTGGAAAATCCTTAATTAACCAACAATATGCATGAGGAGGAGTTGTACTTTCAGTGTTGGGACAAACCAGGATAAGAGGAACCAGCCACCCCATTAGCAGATTTTACACCCCACCCCCAGGATACCAGTTCCAACTTCCAAGAATTGCTTGAAATCAGCAAAGGTTCAATTTTCTGTTGCTAAGCCTCCTACCCTATGAGAGCAGCACATATATGCAAAATCCTCGGTATTATTTACTGTACTTTCTTATAAAGCAAGGATGCGGTAACTGAGTGTTACTCAAAATATACCATTACACAAGGCCACTTTAGCGTGTGTGTGTGTGTGAGAGAGAGAGAGAGATTAAAAGTTCATATAGGTTACCACGCCTCAAGGTTAACGAAACACAGAGATATATCCAAGCTTGCTTCACATATGTTA